ATTTAGAGAGACTAAGAAAATACACTAGAATTTGTAAAAAGTAATCTTAAATGAAAAGATAGTGTCAAATTGCTAAATTTCTACTCACAAGTACGTACTTGGAGTTAAAAGATGTGGTAATATATTGCTTCATGGGAACTACGTGTGGCCTTATGTATTGAACAATTTTAAAATCATATTACAGAGAGTAAAATTTCAGATAAAACTTTTAAAAATAAGCAAGACTTCAAAAGAATGCCAACATGTTTATGAATCACCTACAAAAACTGATTTCATATAATGTGATTATAATCTGCTCAGTGGTGCCTTTTACCTGCTTTAAAAATATGTGTTGGTTTGTAACTTTGAAAAATATACCCTTTTAAGATCACTAGTATGGCAAAAAAAAATCAAAAAACACAAAAATGAACTGTATAAGAGGTTAAGTATCATTTTGTCAGTCAAAGCTAAATAACCCTGCAAATAAGCTCAGCATTATCTCTGCATGGAGTAGGGCTGTCAGAGTAACTTGTTACAATTCTTGTCATCCCATGTGACAAACACAGCTGTTTCTGATGCTTTCCGATCCAAATTAATCCTGTCTTTAGTTCTGAGCCTCTTTGTTGCCTTGTTTTTAAAAGCTTAATTATGAAAGTCTGAAAGGAAATCAGACTCAGCATTTCTCCATCAAGAAAATCAGATGATTTTGCTATCAAGATCTAATCAAATCTATGAGAGGAAATTAAGTTAAAAATTAAGACTTATCTCTCTAAACTAACCCCTGCATGAAAATACAAAGAATAACATGATTCTGATACTGCATTATAGGGACAAAGATGAAATGAATGCAGAGAGGAAAGAACAATAAACAGTAATTTATCCCACATACTGTCCTTTCTTCATTCAGTTTCATTTCCCAAATCTTAACTGCAAGTAAATGTTTTCTTCAATGTGAAATGTAGTTTCTTTGAATTAAAAAAAACTTAATTCAATAACTTTCCATTTTTCTATAGAATTGATTCTATTTCTGGTATAAGAGAAGTTATAAAACAGATGCAACTCTGAAAAGCACTATACAACTGTCAAAGGACAAGACAGCTGCTCATGCTCTCGGTTCTGAAACTGGGAACAGAAATGTCCTACTTCTCAGTTCCATAACAAATGCATGTACATACAGATCAAGAGATGTGAACAGGCAGAAGAGGACTAAACGTACCAATATTAACCTCAAGCTTTTAATGTTTTACTTCTTGTTCTCCTCTCTGCCCAGAATGTCCTTCCATCTCAAGGCTGGCCTAATGTGACTCTTAGATTTCTGTTTATATGTCACCTCCTCTGAGAACCCACAGTAGTGCAACTCCACTTCCTCCACAACTTTAACCATCCCCAAATCACCAAATTTTCTTTATTATACTTTGCATGACCTGAAATTATAATCGATATTTGCTTGATTCATGCCTCTCCTGTTTAGAATGTGAGAATCTAAGTTTTAGTCCAGGACAGCTGTTGAACACATTCCATTTTTTCCCTGCCTTAAAATGACCTGGCAGAAAGTGGCTATTTTTTGAATGACCAGACCAGCTAAGGCATGGCAACCTAAGTTCTATTCACAGCTCCAACTCATCTTGTTTGGCGCATATCATGTCTTAACAGAGTTCTGAGTATGTGAAAACTTGAGAAAATGTCTCTTTAAATAAATATTCAGCCTTCTGGATTCTCAAGAAAAGTACTGAGTGAACCTGGACCTACACGCCACATGGTAAGAACTTCCATACACTTTACAGAGGCACAGTTTTCACATCAATCATTCCTGTTTACTAATGTGATGTGAGTGTTCAATCATTTAATGTTGTCTGCCTAGTTTCCATTCATATGAGTTTGCCACCCTGGATTTATCAAGTATTAGAAAATATATATGTTATAAACCTTTAACACAATATATTCAACCATTCTAATAATATGGAAAATGAGGCATGTTAATGATATGTTAAATATTTAATACAAAGTCACTTAGCAAGTTAATGTCAGAGTCTAACCTAGTCCATGTTTTCAAATCCTAGGGTCCACACTTTCCTTATACACCACATTGTCATATTTCTTAGCATTCAATACATGAGTTGTGGTGTTGCACACCTGTAATCCCAGTAGCCAGGAGGCTGAAGTGGGAGGAGTGTTCAAGGCCTGTTTGGCCCACACACAGTCACTCTTCCTCAAAAGAAAAAGGGGATGGAGGATACACTAGAGCCTGACTGACTGGCAATTTAATCAACTGCATTTCTTTTCTTGTATAGGGTTAAAGTTGAAAGGGAAAAATCAAAATAGCCAATACAGCCTCCCTGAAGGACTGTGCACGCTAGGAGTATCACACACTGGTGTGGAAATTCCACAGAACTTGCTGATAAGATCTGCTGGTCACAGCAGTGATGCCAGCCGCTGCGCAGACATGGTCACACAAGCAGAAGATGTGCTTATACAGATACTCCATTCACTGACAGAGACAGGATGTGCTAAAACATTGCTCTAAGATTTTTAATAAACTCAAGTAGTTTTATGATAAATGGAAAAATTCCATGTATATCTTTGCTATAATGGTGTGGCTAGTCAAAGATCTATGTGAAATACAGTGTCAGACTCCTTTAAAATGTGTTTATTCTGACAAATGTAAAAAAAATTAAAATTACACAAAATGACAAGTCCAATGCTTAATCAATTTAATAAATCCTAGTATTTTCCCATGTTATTGCATATAGCTTTTAAAACTTAAGTTACAGATAGTATTGAAGCTCCTACACCTAGTATTCTTGACCCCAATTTCCTCTCTTGTCAGAGCCCATCAACACCTTTTCTTTGTGGTTCATCATTTATATGTAAGTTTTTATACCACCCACACACATACTTCCATAAACAGAAGCTAGTGCCTCTTTCTATGTGTCCAAACTTGACATAAACAGTTACATACTGAATGTGTATGTCAGTGTGCTTCCAAAGTTACATATAAGGTTTCCTACCATTTTCAAGCTCAGAAAAAAGAAAATTATTTAAAACTGTCTAAGGATTCAAATTTTAAAATCATGCACAAAATACTAATTAATAAACATTGACAAACGAGACTACTGCTATAGTCAACACACTTGCAGCTAAAAACAGAAATACTCTCCTAACTAAAGAATTTCTATCTGAAATTAAGAGAGTAACATTTCTTTAAAGTATTCCTTAGGAAAAGGTGTCAGTACTCAAAAGCAGCTGAGCCGAGCTGAGCATGAGGTTCATTTCGTATTGGGACAGTACTTGTGTGCCTGGTCTGAGGCTTCACTTCAAAGTCTCTAGAGTTCAATTAAAACTGGATTAGGAAGAAGCAGACCGTTCTTTGGGACTTTCTGTTCACTGGAACTCTACATATACTGACAGCACCCTAGACAGAGGTCTAGCCCTCCAATGAATCAGTTGCTATGGAAACCATATCATTACCACTGCTCTTCAGTTATGACCCTGAGTCTAGAATAGCTTGAAAGCCTAAACCCACAGCCCTCTGCAAATGTTTACCACTTTGTTTTGCTATTGTTAGTATGATTAGCGAATTCAACTTTTAAAAATAATTCCTTGCTCCCAAAACCTTATAGATTAAATGTTACAATGAGCATGTTAGAAGGGGAAGAAATCGGTATTTACATATAATATATACATAAATATTAAATTTCTTGCTATTAAAAGTCAAGCATATCTTTGATGAAACGTTATACATGATTTTGTCCAAAATATATTTCTCTTTTACTTAACAAAGGCATTCCTAGGATTACATAAGAAAATTTCTTCACCACACTGCAGTAATTCTTAGCTAGAAAGCAATGCATTTTCATTCCATTTAAACCATCCATTTTTACAAAAGATGGGGATTAATTAACAAAAATTCTTGCTTTCTCATCCTCAAGAAACAACAAAAAGAGAAAAACCATAGATGATGCCGTATTTTATGAATATCTGACATTTTAAAAAATAGATATAAAATAGTTAAAGCCATGTTTGTTTCACTAAAGAAGTAGACAAGAAAGGTTTTGTTTCAAAAATGACCCTTAAAATTTTAATGATTTAAAATTCTTCTAGAAGGGAAACGTTTTTTAAGTGAGAAAATGTTCTCTCTACAAAATAGGAAATGCTTACACAGAAGTTTGCATATACAAAATCAAGAAGC